AAAGATGGAGGTTAAAAATGCTGACCAATAGTTGGGAGAGTGGCGACAACCTCGCCCAGCTTCAGTTTGTACAGCAGGGTGGTTTTACCTGCAGCATCCAGACCCACTGCAGAAACACAAACACACACACGTGTTACTGTTGAAAACACAACACATGTTCAGCCGTCAAATATGAGTTTGGGGGCAAAGTATGCAGACATTTTACTTAAGTGAAGGCAATACATAAAATATACACTTAGAACAACTAAACAAAGTTGACAAAAACCACATACGATCTTAATATTGCTCAGTTTTTTGTTTTTTTAGCTTGCTTTTTTGTTATTAATGGGTTTTTTTTTTTCAAATTTAATTAATTAATTGATTTTTCTTTCTTTGTTCAGGCCACACAAATAGTAATTAGTAATAATAACACTCATGTAAGTTATTATTACGAATATGCAAGGAAAATGTCTTCACACTGCAGAGGGAGTTCTCACATATTTTACATACTATAGGTGAATTATAAATATAAAGATCATTACTGTTAATGTTATTTTCATTTTGTAAATAAGAAGTAAGCCAAAACTGAGGCGAAAAATGGCAAAAACTGCAGAGTCAATAAGAACCAATAATCCTGAAAGCTTAGATAATTAAACTACACGAGACTCGTGTCAGTTTAAATTACATCACAATGTGTCAGAAAAAATAAAATTGCATGTTGTTGTCATAACAAATATTAACTCACCCATCAAAATCCTGACGGGATGCTTGGAGAAGAGTCTGGAGAAAATGTGTGAGATGATGACGCCCATGGTTCAGGTAAGCCTCAGGTAGAAAGTGTCTCTCGGGTAGAAAGTTTCTCTCAGGTAGAAAGCCTCTCCGCTCGCTGTGCCTCTTTGTGTCTTTGCCTGTGTGTGTCGGTGTTTTATAGCGCTGCATCGTGTTGTTTTGCTCTGTGTATGTGTTATCCATGGTGTCATCAAGACTGCCGTCAAATCTGGACACGGTGGAACTAGCATCAACACCGGAAAACACTGGAGAACTCAACTTCCGCTAAACCAGTTTTCAAATTGAGAGCGCTTTCGAGCCGTTGGAATTATTGGAAAACAGAATCAGAGATATCAGAAGTTAGAACAATAAACTCAGGAACAAGATTACTGTTACACAACACCGCAACATTTTTACTTAAATTATGTCATGGAAATGCAACAAAACCTCATTCAACAATTTAAAGATTGTTTTATTCATATGCAAAACAAATTTAATTGTTTTGCGCATTAAATTCCAAAGCATTTCTTTAACAAAATGGTAACAGAGGAACAAAAACACTGTACTACGTCTATCTTCCATTTTTACCTTGTTTGCTAAAGTTAAAACTCTAAAGTTTAGTAAATGCAACTATATGTGAAATGGAAAATTGTGCTCTTGATCCTCAGTTACCACTTTTTGATAAGCAAGTGTTTATTTTCTTAATGTGAGTAGATTGTATGTGTTAGTTATGATCTCCAGTATGGTTTCAAAAGTCATTTTATTGCTTAGTTGGTTCCAAATAATAATAATGATAAGAAGAAAAAAAACGAAACAATTCCAACGGCTCGAAAGCTCTCTTAGTTTGAAAGCTG